AAAAAATGAATTAGAAAGATGAGTGAGAGAGTAGATAAGAGAGAAGAGAAGAGGGAGGGGAAAAGTGGAATAGAAAAGAAAAGAAAAGAAAAAAGAAAAGGAAGAGTAGGAGAGAAGAGAAGAGGAAGGGAAAAGTGGAATAGAATGGAAAATGGTAAAAAGGGAAAGGAAAGAGTAGGAGAGAAGAGAGAGGAAGGGAAAAGTGGAATAGAAAAGAAAATGATAAAAAGGAAAAGAAAGAGTGGGAGAGAAGAGAGGAGGAAGGGGGAAAAGTGGAATAGAATTGAATAGAAAATGATAAAAAGGAAAAGAAAGAGTAGGAGAGAAGAGAGGAGGAAAGGGGGAAAAGTGGAATAGAAAAGAAAATGGAAAATGGTAAAAAAGAAAGGAAGAGTAGAGAGAAGAGAGGAGGAAGGGAAAAGTGGAATAGAAAGAAAAGAAAAAAAGGAAAAGAAAGAGGAAGAAAGAAGAGGAAAGGGGAAAAGTGGAATAGAAAAAAAAGAAAAGAAAAAGAAAAGGAAAGGAAAGAGTGGGAGAGAAGAGAAGAGGAAAGAGGGAAAAGTGGAATAGAAAAGAAAAGAAAAAAAGGAAAGGAAAGAGTAGGACAGAAGAGAAGAGGAAGGGGGGAAAGTGGAATAGAATAGAAAATGATAAAAATGAATTAGAAAGATGAGTGAGAGAGAGTAGATAAGAGAGAGAGAAGAGGGAAGGGAAAAGTGGAATAGAATAGAAAATGGTAAAAAGGAAAAGAAAGAGAAGGAGAGAAGAGAAGAGGAAAGGGGAAAAGTGGAATAGAAAAGAAAAAAAAAAAGGAAAAGAAAGAGTAGGACAGAAGAGAAGAGGAAAGGGGAAAAGTGGAATAGAATAGAAAATGATAAAAAGGAATAAGGAGAGGAAGAGAGAGTAGAGAAGAAGAGAAATATGAATAAGAAAAAGAGTGAGAAAGATAGAAAAGAATGAAAAAGAAAAGAAAAGAAAAATGAATTAGAAAGAGAGAAAGAGAGAAAAGAGAGAGAAAAAAAAATAACAGAAAAGAAATTAAAATCGGAAGAGAAAATATAGAAAAGAAAAAGAAAAGGAAAAGGAACAATAGAGGAAAGAAAATGAATAAAAAAAGTAAAAAGAAAAAGAAAAAGTAGAAGACAAAAAAATGAATAAAAAAGAAGGAAGGCAGAGAGAGAAAAAGAATGAATGAAAGAAAGAAAGAAAAGGGTGAAGAGGTGGTCTGCCATTTGCAAATATAAGTATGAGTATCTGTGAGTTTAATGTAAACAATTAAAAAAGTAAATGAAAGACATATAAACACATTCTTACTCTCAGAGACATATCCTTATACACACACACACACACACACACACACACACACACACACACACACACACACACACACACACACACACACACACACACACATACACACACACACACACACACACACACACACACACACACACACACACACACACACACGTATACATACTGAAAGGTATGAACGAGAATGAATATCTCTACAATAGAAGAGAATGTATTTAACCAGTTTCGAATATACCTTCGTCAAAGATATATATCCTGACAAAAAAAATATCATCGAAACCGGTCAAAACATCTCCTTTTTTGAGGAATATTCATTCCAATTCATACCTTTCTACATTCGCCAACAGGAATACCGTTCAGTTCTCTTGTTGTGAGGATATTATTCATTCCATTCATACCTTTCTACATTCGCCAACATAATACGTTCAGTTCTCTTGTTGTGAGGATATTATTCATTCTTCATACCTTTCTACATTCGCCAACAGGAAACGTTTCAGTTCTCTTTTGTGGATATTATTCATTCCAATTCATACCTTTCTACATTCGCCAACAGGAATACGGTTCAGTTCTCTTGTTGTGAGGATATTATTCATTCCAATTCATACCTTTCTACATTCGCCAACAGGAATACGGTTCAGTTCTCTTGTTGTGAGGATATTATCCATTCCACTTCATACCTTCTACATTCTCGCCAACAGGAATACGGTTCAGTTCTCTTTTTGCGAGGATATTATTCATTCCAATTCATACCTTTCTACATTCGCCAACATACGGTTCAGTTCTCTTTATGTGAGGATATTTATTCATTCCAATTCATACCTTTCTACATTCGCCAACATACGGTTCAGTTCTCTTTATGTGAGGATATTTATTCATTCCAATTCATACCTTTCTACATTCTCGCAACAGGAATACGTTCAGTTCTCTTTTTGCGAGGATATTATTCATTCCAATTCATACCTTCTACATTCGCCATACGGTTCAGTTCTCTACATTCGCCACAGGAATACAGTTCAGTTCTCTTTTTGCGAGGATATTATTCATTCCAATTCATACCTTTCTACATTCGCCAACAGGAATACGTTTCAGTTCTCTTTGTGAGGATATTATTCATTCCAATTCATACCTTTCTACATTCGCCAACAGGAATACGGTTCAGTTCTCTTTTTGTGAGGATATTATTCATTCCACTTCATACCTTCTACATTCTCGCCAACAGGAATACGGTTCAGTTCTCTTGTTGTGAGGATATTATTCATTCCAATTCATACCTTTCTACATTCGCCAACAGGAATACGGTTCAGTTCTCTTGTTGTGAGGATATTATTCATTCCAATTCATACCTTTCTAGCCAACAGAATACGCATTCTCTTTTGTGAGGATATTATCATTCCAATTCATACCTTCTACATTCGCCAACAGAATACGAATACATCCATTCCACTTCATACCTTTCTACAGTCGCCAACAGGAATACGGTTCAATACACACATGGAACTACAAACATCAACTCCTTTTCAGTTCTGGAGTGCGTACGTCCCCTGCAGGTCCCAGTACAAGAACGCCCTGACGCAGACCCTGGAGCAGATCGACGTCATACACCGCCTCGTCGACAAGTTCCCCGAGGACTTACAGCTGGTGACGTCCTCCGAAGGTAAGGTGTGGTGGCGCCAGGTGGTGGGGCTCAGGTGGGGTAGAGGTTCCAGGTGGTTGGGCTCAGGTGGGGTAGAGGTTCCAGGTGGTGGGGCTCAGGTGGGGTAGAGGTTCCAGGTGGTGGGGCTCAGGTGGTGGTGGTTCCAGGTGGTTGGGCTCAGGTGGGGTAGAAGTTCCAGGTGGTTGGCTCAGGTGGGGTAGAGGTTCCAGGTGGGGGGCTCAGGTGGGTAGAGGTTCCGGGTGGTTGGGTCAGGTGTGGTAGAGTGTGGTGGTGTGGTTCCAAGGTAGCTGTGGGTTCCTGAGAGTGGTGCTGGAGGTTTCCAGGTGGTGTGGGTTCCTAGGAGGTGGGTTCTTCTCATTCTTAGGTGGTGGAGGTTTCCAGGTGGTGCAGCTTCCCAGATGGTGGGATCTCATTCTAAGGTAGTGGAGGTTTCCAAGTGGTGCAGTTTCTTTCCATTCTTAGGTGGTGTGTTTCCAGGTGGTGCAGCTTCCCAGATGGTGGGATCTCATTCATTGGTGGTGTGTTTCCAGGTGGTGCAGCTTCCCAGATGGTGGATATTCTAAGGTAGTGGAGGTTTCCAGGTGGTGCAGCTTCCCAAATGGTGGCTTCTTCCAGTTTTTAGGTGGTGTGTTTCCAGGTGGTGCACCTTCCCAGATGGTGGCTTCTTCCCGCTCAGGTGGTGTGTTTCCAGGTGGTGGATCCCACGTAGTGATGACAGGTTTCAGGTAAGGGAAGATTCCACATGGTGAGGGCTCGCAGGTGGTAAATCCCAGGCAGTGGTGGCATTTTCCAGCTGACAGTTCACAGGTGGTGGAGGGTTCCAGATAGCAACTTTATAGTTAATAATGATAATACTGCTAATAATGATGATAATGATAATAATAATAATAATAATAATAATAATAATAATGATAATAATGATAACAGCTACAGAAAAGACGACAGCAATAAATGTAACTATAATTAAAGTAATGATAACAACTACAACTATAGTAGTTTACAATAATAAACACATCTTTATTGATCATAACGTTAAAGCTGATAATGATACCAATAACGATTTTATTGATTACCGATAAGACCATCTCAATTAGTAACAAATATGCTTATCAACGTGGCTAAACAAATCAAAGGTGTATATAATAATAATGATAACAATAACAAAAACCATAATAATAATAATAATAGTGATATGAGCAATAGTAATAATAAGAACAGCAATAATAATGATAATAATAATAATAATAATAATATATAATATAATAATGATAATAATAATAATAGTAATAAACAAAATATATTGATAACAATAACAAATAACAACAATTATAACAACAATGCTTCCCAAAAAGACACGAACTTTTCACATCATTCTAGGGATCCTTAACGCCCACGCCCACGGGAAAATCGGGTGTATGGTGGGCGTGGAAGGCGGGCACAGCATGGACTCCTCACTGGGGACCCTGAGGACCTTCTACAGGCAGGGCGTCCGGTACATGACACTGACGCATATGTGCAACACGCCTTGGTTAGTTGCTATTAATTTATTAATTTCACTCGTTCTGCTTCTTCTTCTTCTGTATCTACGTCATTTCCTTCTTCATCATGGTTGTTTTAAAGAACATGTTTGGTGTTATAAGGCAGGACGATCAAATCGTTAGAGGTTATCAAAGAACAAGAACAAAACTGAGTTCCTATTAAGTTGCTCTGTTAACATAACGCCAATTACAACTGCAATATTCCCATGTAATTACACAGCTGCACAGTTTGCCTTTACGGTCGCTGATTCATCCAAGTGATCAACCAGTCTCCCGAAACAAAGCATCGCCTACAAAACACACTGGAACATATCAGCCGACTGTTAAATTACAGTAGCATATCGAGCAGCGCGCCGTTCAGTATTTTTAAAAGCACGGAATACGTAACATATGAGAAAGATCTGAGAGCAGCTTCTCTCCCCTCAGGGCGGATAACTCAGCGGCCGAGCCTGAACATCTGGAGTTTGATGGTTTAACTGCCTGGGGCGAGGTAGGTGCAGACACGCTGGAGGCTGGTATTATGCCTTCCCCTTCTCGCTGTCTTCATTTCGCTCCGAGCCCTTCCAGCTTCGCCTCCCCTTTATCTCTACTATCTCCTTATTTATCCTTCCTCTCCGTCCTATCACCTCTCTTCGTTCCTTAAAGTGTCTTTTCCCAAAACCTTTCATTCGTTCCCCTCTATCGGGTAATTTTTCGTTCTTTTTCCTTTTCCTTTTCTCTTTATTTCTACAATCTCACACTCTCTTGTTTCGCCCTCAGACGGTTGTCAAGGAAATGAATCGTCTGGGCATGCTCGTTGACATCTCCCACGTGGCGTCCCAGACCATGAACGACGTCCTTGACATCACGAGGGCGCCGGTCATCTTTTCACACAGCGACACCCGGGCCCTGTGTAACATCACCAGGAATATTCCCGATGACGTCCTGGTCAGGCTGGTAAGGAGTGACGTCGATCTTCTCTCTCTTCTCTCTCCTCTATTTTCTATTATATTAAGCTCCTTTTCTATCTTGTTTCTCTTCTCTCTTCTCTCTCTTCGCTTTTTACCTTTTCTATCTTTTCGCTCTAATCCTCTCTTCTCTTAAAGCCTGAACCTTGTCTTACGTTATGTTCAGACTGGCGAGACATCACGTTAATCCGTCCTTGCTTTAGACACGTATTTAACGCTTGGTGAAAAGGCATTATTCTTCATGTTAGTTGAATATGATCGTTCCTCACTTCGCTGGTTCGTCGTTTTGATTTTTGTTTCAATATCACCACTCTCTTCCGTTCTTCTTTGTTAAAAAACCGTGAACTGGAAAAAAAATGTTAAATTAACATAATCATTTCTTTTTAATGCTACTCAAGCAGTATGAATACACAATAACAATTCCCACATAAGCATTTTTTTCGGTATTGATCACAGCTATCTTTAATTCCGTGGACAATCAATTTACTTTGATGGTTTCCATGACGATATTCTAGAACACTGGGAGGATATATTTTTTATTCGAATTGTGTGGATAAAAAAGTGCTCACGCAAGGGTATCATTATAATGCAGACGCCACCGGAACGAGACGAGTTTCCAAAAGAAAATTACATCGTAAATACAGGAATAATGTTCACTTTAGTTTCCCCTCTAAAGTGTCTAATTTCCCTCCGGTAGATGGAACTCCCGCTGCAGCGAACAGAAAACGGAGCAATTTCAACAAATTTAATTTCTGACTCGCTCACTGATCCTCACTTTGGGTTCTGTCGCCGAGTCGTATGTCTTTATGTGTAAAGAGCATAAAGACATTACCTTTTAGTGCATGTGAACTGATGCTCAACAAAATAAACGCTAAAATACTGGGGACGGTTAAAGAAAATGGGAATTTTAGCGGGTAAAGAAAATGGGAATTTTCAGAGCTATGCTACAAACCAATTCACTCTCCATCACAGAAAACTAAAAATAAATGGTAAACAATAACAAAACTTTACATCTTACCTATTTCACATCTTTTATATCCCAGGTAAGAGAAAAGTTAAGTGAAAAACGGAGTAAGAGCTTCTAGAATATTCCCAAGAGCACAGATACGTTATTTGAAATGATACCAAGACAGCAGTCGTGTTATTGTCATGATATAACCTCATTTTCTCCGTACAGCACGAAAATGGAGGAATTGCTATGGTAAACTTTTTGCCAGACTTCCTGTCGTGTTCCTCCACCGCGACCCTCCAGGATGTTGTCGGTAAGTCAAAGTGTTTGTTTGTCTGTTTTTAGTTTGTGTGTTTTTGTGTGTGGGGTGGGGTGGGGTGGGGGGGAGGGCGTCCTTTATCAGATTCTCTCTGAGTTTTGTTCTCTTTGGATTTGGTTTGTTATTGATATTTTTCTTTATTTGTTATTGATAGTGTTCTCTCTTTCTTTATTGATATTTCTTTTTTCTCTGTTTTTTTTTTTTTTTTTTTACTATTTTGTCTCAATTTTCTGTCCTGTTTCCAATTTTGTCTTTTTTTTTCTGTAGCCTTTTTCTTTTTTTTTTTTTTTCTGTTCTTGTCTCCAGTTTTATCTTTTTTTCTGTTATTTGGTTCCTATTAATCTTCTTTTTCTGTTCTCTGTCTCAGATGTAGGAATTATCCCATTACACTTTTAATGTGTTGATATATTAATTACAAAATATATATACTTTCTATTTTACGTGTTGATGTATATATATATATATATATATATATATCTATGAAACTCTTATTAGTTAAAATATTAATTGCAAAATACCTCTCTACTCACATATACATTTATATATGTACAAGTGTGTGTGTGTGTGTGTGTGTGTGTGTGTGTGTGTGTGTGTGTGTGTGTGTGTGTGTGTGTGTGTGTGTGTGTGTGTGTGTGTATTTTTTTTTTTTTTCTCTCTCTGAAGGTCCCCTAATGTTTTTTTTTGTTTACGTTCCTTTTATTCCTAATTCCTCCATTTTGATCAACGCTTTCCTTTCAGCTCACATCAACCACATCCGGGACATTGCGGGCCCTGATCACGTGGGTCTTGGCAGCGATTACGAAGGAATAACAACGTATGATTATGATTATATTCTTGTGTTTATTATCTATAGTGAAGGTTCTTAGTTTTTTAGATTCTTAGCTATCTGGAGTGTGTTAGTTTTTTAGATTGCGTTTATTGAAAGGAATTATATTTTACTATTGATATAAATGAGACTTTAATAAAAGGGAGATTGGGATCAGATGAAAAGCCCAGGTAAAAAAAAAAAAAAAAAAAAAAAAAATGTTTATTGTGTTAAAATCAGTGTTATTTCAACATAATTCTTATTTTAAAGCCCTGGATGTTTACTTTCCAACCGTGATCTCGGCCTATAAATTTTGCTGAATTTCTCATTGCACTTAGGAAGGGGAAACATTGTATTATCTTAAGACTTTCAACCATAATTCCAGTGTCAGATTACGGTTGGAAATAATAATATCCAACATAAAACATAAAGTTCCCTTGCTGATGCGGAAAGTTATGTAATGATCATCAATAATTCTACACATTTTAAAAGCAATATTCTTCCTCCAATAATATCCACTTAAACACACCTTAAAAAGTAATTAAAGAAAACAGGTGCACTTCCGGCATTCCAACACCTTTCCTTAAAGTTATTTTGCAACAAATTTATTAGAAAAGAGTGAAAACCTTCCCAATACAAGATATGCATTTAACCGGTTCTGATTCTATCCTCGTCAGACATACATAAATATGCTATTTCTCACGGAAGAGGTAATCGAAACCGGTTAAACGCATCCCTCGTATTGTGAAGACAACTATTCTCCTTCTAAACCTCTTCTACACTTTCTTCCAGAGTTCCGGAGGGTCTGGAGGACGTGAGCAAGTACCCTTACATCTTCGCCGAGCTCCTTCTTGACCCGAAGTGGACGGACGAAGACCTTAAGAAACTGGCTGGAATGAACCTTATTCGCGTCTTCCAGGAGGTCGAAAGGGTCAGTTTCCAATTAGTGTTTTTTTTGTGTGTCTTGTGATTCCGAAACGGGCGATTGGCTTTTGTTTTGTTTTTTAAATGTTTTTTTTTTTTTAGTCTTTTTGGTAAGATAAGTTCCTTGTACATGTAGAGAAAGGATAAAAATTCTCTCTTGTTTTCTTTCCTTCTATCTATCTTTATCACGAATCCCTTCCTTCTTCACTGTCTATCTATCTATCGATCAAATCGTCTCATTCTCATCTCATTTACTTAAAGCATTCCTACGCTACGTTTAACTTCATAATCCGGCAGTTAGCTTCTCTCTCCACAAATCTCTTTCGCTTCATTTATCCGTTTCTTCCGCTTCACTGGGTCTCTTACACCGCTTCTCCGTAAATATTTTTCAATATTCAATCATTCTCCCTTGTTTCGCTGGCTCATCGTACCTCTGGCACTCCTGTTATTATTAAGAATTTTTTGGCGGGTAATTTTGCATAAGGGTATTTAATTTCTACTGATTTGTTTATTACATTATAATAACATTATTACAGTCTATATGAGGATGTGACGTCACTATCATTTCCTTCGTTTTCTATATGCTCTCCCGTTTTCTTTTGATTTCGTGTAACACTGCCCGAACTAATCTAAAAAATGAAAAAATAAAAAATATATGCTTATTTTCATTCATTTACTATATATGTATTTTTTTTTTATTCATTTATAATATATTCATCTATTTTCATTTATCATATTATTATTTTCATTTATCATATATTCACCTATTTTCATTTATCATATATTCATCTATTTTCATTTATCATATATTCATTTATGTATTCATTTATTCTATTATATTTATTCATTTATTTATTTTCATAAACAGGTGCGTGACCAGCTGGCAGGTGAAGCTCCTTGGGATGCATTTATTCCTTCAGAAGATATTGCTGACCACTTAGATTGCGTCAACCCTTGGCCTCTTGATTTAAAAGATCCTCTAACTTGATTATTAGATTAAAAAAATTGCTTGTTGATCATGGTTTAGTGAATAAATATGACAACACATATTTTGGTAAATACGAAATGGTTTTTAATACCTTGTTTCGTGTGTGTTTGTTTGTTCCACGAAATGGGCTAGGGAGATTTATATCCCGTATGGAATCGATTGCACACGATAAAATGTAGAATAATAAATAAAGATATATATATATAAATAAAGAGATATATGTATAGATAAACAAACAATTTACAAAGAAGAGGAAGAAGTGTCAAACTAGGTTCAAAGAAAGAGGAAGAGAAACTTGGAAGTTTTTAATGAACTGATAAACAAAGTGAAGGATAAAAGTTCCCGACAACGCTCCTTTCCTGGACGACTGTACAAAACACAATCACAATATCACATTGACGTAAAAAGTAAGGACTTTCTCAGCGGCAAACACTTCCAAGGTCACAAAGTTCTCCAAAGGGCGCCGCGTCTCACACGAAGACGCTTTAACACTTTATAAAGCAATAGATTAGACTAAAAAACCACAAGTCGTCATTTAAGGCCCAATGGCAACACTTAAGTG